AAATAGGTCTGGCGGCCCTGGAATCTTACCATATTTGGTAACATAAGTNTACATTGCATTTATTCTTTTAAATGATTTTGGGAACTAATCACATCTTAGAAATTTGTGTAAAATTGATTTTTGCTCAATGTTATCATTAAAGATTCAGTTAGTCTAGAATAAATTTACATGGCGTTACCTAATTAATTGGCCAGCGCAATATATTTTTGTTGTGAATTTTTTTATGGGGCTTATAGGCGGCAAAGTGACAATCAGCTGGAAAGGAAAATACAAAAACAAAATATTTTCGCTACTAGCTAAGTTAACGTGTTGAGTAATCATTGACGATTTCTTACGTAAGTTAAGTTATGTCTGGACTAACTGAAGAACCTTAACTTGTTTGCTTGAGTGACTTATCCCACTTTCAAAATAAACATGTCTAGGTATAGCGTTGGTTAGTAAACCTTCTCTCAAACAAAACCTTAGTGCAATGATATTTTTTTTTATAAACAAATACCGTTAAATTGTAATTAGTCTTGTCATCAACTAGATTTTTTCGAAAAGGTGACTTATGCTACTTTCAAAATTAACGTATGTACATATATACATATTTGATTTTGTATGAAGTATTATATTTAATATTTTTTTATTTTATAAGTTTTATGAATTCTTTGTGTCAAACTTTTTGAGAGCTACTTGAGACAGGGATAAACTTAAAATACTAGCCTCTCGATATCGTTCGCATTACTTTTCATTGGCCGTTTGTTCCTATTAAGAACACACTAACAAACACATGCATACATACTTACATATACATATATATACATATGCATATGTAGTATATTATCAGTACTACCAGAAATGAATTCATATTGCGTATCAACAGGATTCTCGTGTATTTTTATGCACATTAGCACTTTTTTTGAATTTTATATACATACATAGTTCATTATGCTCTAAAAACAATCTGTGTGAAAGGTGACAATTTTTGGTTTATATCTTAGGCTCGCCCAAGTGTATCAAAGTTCCATGTGCTCAAAAAATAAAAACTAATTAATACATTTTTTTATAGTTTAAATTCAATTGACTTTATTTGCCATAATTTGGTTTATGGACATTTTTTGTAAAGAATCGTAGTAAGCTAGGATTTTTTTTTTTAGCACATGAACTTTGATGGACTTGGGCGAGAATAAGATATTGACCAAATTTTGCCATCTTTCATACAGATTGATTTTAGAGCATAATGAATTATATTTTCGCTATTACCAATAAAAATTCTAAAAAACGGATTTTCGGTCCACGCACAAAAAATGCATACCTATTTAGGTAACTACCTTAGATGTTTCAATAACACATCGGAACGAAGGTTCGACCGTTTTTGTTTAATATTTTTTTTTTAGTGATCGCAAAATATGCAAAAAGCAAAGAACTAAATTGTGTATTAAGGAGCAAGTAAAACATGTTATAAACAACAAAATGTCTTAATAAAACCCCAATGCATGTACATAAATAAAAAATATCAACAATGCGTGTAGAAACAAAAAAAAAAATATTTGTGGTGTAAAACTAAATGGGTAATATAAGCATATGTACATACAAATGTAGCTTAAAACTGTAAAAAAATACTAATATTCAATGTAAATTTGAGGCATATTTATTAAAAAACACATCTACATACATACTTCGAAATGCACATAATATGCTATATACCTACATATGTTTAACCATATCGGATTAACCGAAGCATTCAAAACTGCTTGATAACGATAACTAAAAATGGTTAGGATGCAGCTAAAAAAAAAAAATAAACAACTGAGAACAAAGCGTTAACAAGAGCGCTAATCACCGCATCGCATTTGATCGAAGAACACTCATGTGTACATACTTAATTATGTACATATGTACTAACATTTACATACATAACTACATATATGCGTACTTATGTAAATGTATATATTAGGTGAATAAGCATTTACTGTGGATGTGCCTACCAAGCCACAACCAAATCTATACCAAGCAAAACTAATTGTGTATTGCCCATGCAAAAATACAGCAAATTTAAAGAAAAAAAGAAACAACCAAATATACAAAAATATTTAAATAATAATTATTTATATCTTAGCACTTTTGGTTATTTCAATACAATCGATATGCATAAATACATATTTTACATACAAGCAAATTATAAATTAAAAGTGTTAAGTCAGTTAACTTAAAATAAGAGAATGCATAAAGTAATGCTACAACATATGTACTTACATACATACACAATTGTATACATATGTACATAGATACATACATACATAGATATGTATATTTGACGAAATTAAACTGAAATGCAGTAATGAGTTTTAAAATCTATGAACTCCAATAGGAAGGAAACGAGCGCAAAGGCGTCAACGGACGCAAAGGCGTCATTAACGAAATACATACATACAGACCTACATATGTATGTATACAAGTAGTTTATGCGCTGAAACATACACACACAAATTCATAAAACCTAATTAAATGGAGATATGAGGACTAAGACAGATAGCTATCGACGATTGTAGAAGTACTAGTTGTTAGTGTTTTTAGTATTGTGAAATGTATGTATGGATGTCAGTGAATACATAAAAAAATAATGCGCAAATCATTATCAAAATTATGCAATTAATTAATGCATTCAACTTGATGTATTCCAAAAGTATAGCATGTAAACACATACACATACACATACATAAACATATAAATACATACAAATATATTAGTCGCTAAAATATAAGAAAAGTATACATGCAAACGATACTGAAAATTAAAAAAAATAATAATAATAATAATGTTAATAAAAAAACATTCAAATACAAAAAATAAAACAAAAAAGTGATTGCAAAACATAAAATTTGAATGGTCTTAAAACTAATCAACAAATATTAAGAACACTTAAACGAACTAACGATTATTAAATATACTAATGAGTGCAGGTTATAGTACATACATAACTGAATGAATGAAAAACTAAAATGAAACCCCTAATAAACTTAATTATAAAAATTACAAGAAAAAATAATATTACAAAATAAATGTGTTTTTATTTTGGGACATGGTAATTAATTATACATACATACATATATACATATATTCAGGAATATGCAAAAAAATTTAAAAATTATATTATATGAGAGATATTTTAGCTCCAAAAAGAGTTTTCGTTAACTTATAAAATGTCATATCGCACACCGTCTTCAAAAGAGTCACAACTCAAAAAAATACGTTCGCCAGAAAATGCGAAACTACTATTTCGTAGAACATGCTAATCATATGGGCAAGGTTTCTAACAAATTATAACAAAAATTTGCTCCAGCTTTTGCTGAAAGGTAAATAAAAGCTCTGTGTACATTTTTAGCGCATAATTTCAAAATTGTCAAATTTTGAGTTGTGACTCTTTGAAAACGGTGTGCAATATATTATTAAAATAAGCCTCCGGTTTTTTTTAATGAGGGTTTGCGCCGAAATATTCGATTTTCGAGCATTCCATAAAAAAGGTATATCATATTTATTGCCTGACTAATTGCCTTCCCGGAAGAATTTTTAAGCGCAAATATATTTCAAATATGAAGTTAGCACATATGTACATAAATCGATTTTGCACATGATTTTACTTAATGATACATATTTTTTACAACGACAAAAATGAATTAAGCGTTATCGATCATTTTCACCTGTGGACAACAACGAAGCCCACATCCGGAGTATTTTGAATTTAACAAAATATCAGTGAATGGGCGGTTAGTTGCATGTTACTAGTTTTACTTTCGATAGTCTCGACACCAACTTTTCCTAAAAAAAAAGTGGTGTAAATCTTAATCCATGAAACGGATATTCGTACAAATTTCATACAAACACACGTGTCACTTACAAACAATTTCATTATGATTACTTAAACTTTTTGAAATAAAAGTATTCTCAAAAGTTTTGTTGTGTTGTTAATAATTACTAATGACAGTGCTACCTAACCTAATCTAACCTTTTAGAATTACCATTAATTTCGCTAAAGTTTTACTTAACACACAGCAACTAAAATTTATGGTAGACTAGAGCTGTCCCGTACAAACAGGCAATTTATTTGGGATCCTTCGGGCCCACGCGAATATTGCAGAAAAGAATTTTTTTGTTTTTGGTTACTACTTTATCATACAAACTTAATCTACTACTTAAATACTTCGCTTTTTAACTTTTTACTTTTCCTTTAATTAGAACTGTAAACTAGTAAATTCGTAAGCTTTGTTCCGTACTCCTTTTAGGAAACCACCAAAATTTTTGATATTTTTCACTCGGCTTCAACTCAGTTTGAAATGGAATTTACTAGCTTTTCGCGTTCTTTCCGTTTTCCAAGCTCCCGTACGTGCCATTCTAATCTCTAGGTTCACTTTTGTGAAAGCTCATATTGATACAGGGAGCAAGATAAATTAAAAATACAATTTCCAAAAGTATTAAGGCACTTGTTTTGTCTCTTCCCTTTTATATTCAAAGAAAGGCAAAATTGCTAAGTCCAAAAGAGGAACGGAAAATTCTATAAGGCCAATATACTCGTAATACGAAATCTTTTAATTAATGGCGAATGCGTCTTTAAACACGCAAAATTTTGTTTTTTTTTTCGTCTCCTATAAATTTTGTATAATTGGCGATATATGCACATATGTATATACTATCAGGCAGGTTTTGCAATTCACTTCCGAGTGAATTTCAACCCCTAGTAATTTGAAACCAAAGCGAATTAGAATGAAATTTACTCGGAAGTGAATTGCAGAACCTGCCTGTATATCTTGAAGAAATATCCGATTCTAGGCAAGGTTAAGTAGACACTACAACAGTGGGGAATACGAAATCTGAACGGTCAAGGACCGTCACTCCAATAGCATTTCCAAAAAGAATTCATATGCTGTTACAACTGCCATGATCAAGAGATTAGTTCCATAGTCATCACAAGATTAGGGGACAACCTGCCGCGAAATCAGGATATCGAAATACTGGCACTTATGACAAGTTAAGTATAATTTTTTATTTTCTTAATTAAAATTTTACAAAAAGTTTAACTTAACAAGATTGCAGGCTTAAGAAGGCATATTTACGAATGTTCACTGAGATGAGTAATACAATTTAATTTTTAAATAAATACTTAAAAAGACATGGCCAACACAAGTACGCTTAAGGCATATCGTTTGCAAAATGTAGTTGGCCACTAGATGTAAACGCTTTACTTATTTTTCTTGCCCCCGCCCCGCCGAACAGGCGCTTGCTCTACGGCAATAGCATTTTTATTGTGATATTTATTAGATATGCGATTTATAAAGTACAAAGCGCCGATACAAAATATAATGCTGAAATAGAAAACGTATCAATTAACTGATCCGATCATAACCAATGATGTACATACCATGTTGTGGCACAAACTCGATGTACCACCCCGGATGCCACTGTAGCCAGCGATAAGCAAGTCAATATTTCCGGTATGAACTTGGCTTGGAAGTCATTGCCGAATACAAGCATTTCCATATTCGACACAGCGGTAAGCGCGAACACAAATAACCACGAACCAATGAATCCACCAATAATTGTATTCATTTGGGTATCTGTGATCCAACCGGAATAGAACCGCATAGTGGCGAATATGACCAAACTCAGTATGCAGGATATCACTGCCGAAACGAGATTACTGCTACCACTCTTGGTTTCCACACCTGTTTTCGTGCAGTAAATAATTGTTAAATAACACGGATTAAATTAATTATTAAATATAAACTTACCCATTTTGGAACTACGATAGATTCAATTCACAAATTATTAAAAACGCCTACGGTGAATTTTATCAAAAGCCGACTCAGCTTCCACAATTGCAAACAAAGCGCAGGGTTGCATTTCAAGTGTATTGAAATTGTGGACCCCGTAAACCCTGTTTTCAGATAAAGAAATCTATGCCATATGGTAAGTTCTATGGTGAGTAACTTTTTTGAAATGGTGAATAATCAATCCGCCTCCCTCAGACGTGGTAAACAAATCGAACAACCACAACAACATATATCGATATCGTTATTTTATCGAGCAAGAATAAAAAATCAAAATACATAATATCGTTCCGTTTCAGAGCTACATAAGTTAACGAAATAAAACACAACTTTAACGTCGTTGGCTTTGTGCCAATCGGTAACTTTCTTCTCCGTGGTGAGACAGGTTGGAAAAATGTATTGTGGTGTACAAATAAATTGAATTTTGCTGTGCCAAATTTTTAGTTTGATCTTTCGAAATTTTCTATCACAACGCTTTTATCAACTTGCAATGTTGTATGTCCAGACCGTAATTTTTTTCTATCAATTGGCACAGGCTCTATCCAGTTTATTTCTATTAGAAAAGAGCAAAGCAAATTAAGTTCAAAGTTTGTTTAGATCAAAAGTAAAACAAATAAAAATCAGTGAAAAATTCACGCTGGCTCTTATTTTAACCTCAAATTATTGCATTTTTCGGAAACTTTTATTGAGGTCAAAATTTTTTTGAAATGAAAAAACCGGTTAGAAAAATCAAGATTTCAAAAAATCCACCAAGAGATATCGATAAAAAAAAGGTGGAAACCAGTTTGGATAGACCGAGTCAATCACCCTAGTGCAAATACATATGGGATCTTCAAAGTGATAAACTCCTGATAAACTTGATAAAGTGATAAATTTATCATTTTGATAAATGAAGTGTCAAACTTTGTATGGAAATCTATTTAACCAAAGTTTATCTCTTTATCAAACGACTTGGTGGATAAATGTATAAATTTCAGCAAAACATTGAAGTGAATACAGATTTATTTTTTGGCATACATAAAAATTAAAAAGGAGGCCAAAAAAATGTATAGGGGTCTTCATCTAAAGTGATAAAAAAAAATTGCTTAAATTTATCAGTTTATCCGCATTATTTTAAGAATGCACCTTGGTAAATAATTGCATTATTTTTTATTCATTTAATTGTTTATTATTTAACTTATATGGCTAGTTACTCTTCATTCTCGTCCATTGTGTTCATGTGCTTTTATGTGTTCGTGGCAAAAGCAAATAAAAAAACCTGTAGGGGTTGAATCGTCATGCCTTAAGTTTTAACTGTAAATCGTGGTATTTGGACAATCTTCAGTTGTTTTAAATTACCTCCTAGTACAAATTACAGTTTTGTCAAAATTTCATATTTGAAAGAATAAATTAAAATATCTCTTTTGGCTTTTAGAAGTGAATTTTTAACTGGATAAAAAGGGTCATTTGCATTCCAATCATACGGTTAAAACCTTTACATTCCAAAAAGGGCTTCGTATTTGAAGCCTTCCTTTTTTTCCTTTTTTGTTAAAATAAAGTTTTCTTAGGAATTTACAGTTTTTGAAAAATAAAATCAGACAGCACTGTTCAGCACATAACTTTAAAAATTTGCTATTCCCCACTGCTGTAGGCAGTTTGCCACTTCATTCTCGCCTTAAAAATGGATCTGCAGTATTGGGGAATGTTGCGTGGGTGTTAGGGGTGCCTGCTATTCTCTTGGGGTTTTTGGTAATCAAAATTAGCGATAACAAATGTTAGCTGCTGATTGCATTTAAGATTTGTTCGCTTTTTTTAAGGTTTTAAATTTTTCAAATAGAGCCTTAACGATATGTGCCCTGAATGTACATATGTATGTAAATAAGTAAAAGCGTTCTTTTCCAAAACGATCCCCCAAAAACTCGCAATAATAAAAACAGTATGGCACCGCATTGTTATGACCACAGGTATTTGGGAGTCAGATGTTTGCTTTACAAAAAAGCTCCACATGCGAACCTGCATTAAGCTCCATTCAGTGGAAATACCAATTCCATTCATTGCGCTTTGCTCCACATTCGCTGAAAATCCAAAGTCTTTAGTCGCGAAGAAAATTCGTGTATTTCATATTCAAAATTAAAAATATAGTGGAAAACAAAGCCTAATAATTATAAAATTAAGCACAAATACAAGTTCAAATGAAATACTAACGAAGTAATTAGAAATTTTGTGAATTATATTGGGTTGTGCATTAAAAAAGTGAAAATTTCGCAAACGACTTTTGTATTTGACTTCTTTCCATTTTCTGCTTCTTTCTCTACACAGTTTCCTCATATTTTGTGCACCCACTTTTTGTGCAAATAGTAAGGAAAAGTTTTTCGTTGGAAAATTCTTCCAGAGCGAATTATAGAATTTCTGCTGGAATTTGCATTTTATTAAAAGTCAGAGGAAAATATTTTAGAAGATATGTTTGCAAAATAAGAAAAATATAAGATGTCGGAAAAATTGTTCATACCTTCTTGCAAGAGAACTAATAATACTAAAATATATGTAAATGCATTTGTACATACATACTTATTTATGTATGTAATTAACGAATCTCGAATGTGAGAAGATCAAGAATTTGTGGTGTCTGCGCAAACGAACGAAGCACAAAAAGCAATCGAATATGAGTGAAGGAATTTAAGTCGAAAGCAAATATTGAAGTAGTGGAAGAAGCATTTAGATACGAAGCTCTAATGGACAAACGAAGCATAGTGACTAGGGACAATGGTATATAAAAAAAAAAAACGAAAACAAATTTATCCAAGTACAACCAAAAAACCTTTTGATTTTAAACATTAAGACATCTAATAATTTAAGTGTGGTAAATACCTTAATAAGTAAATCCTACCATAAGTGAGCGTGTGTTTGTGTACGCGCGCAAATAGGAAGGGGGAAGTGGAAGTGAAATATCTTCCGTTCTTTTTCCACTCTGCTACATATTTCTTTCTAATATACCAACATTAGAAACAGCAAAAAAAAAACGGGAAGAACGTCAAAAGTGGAGGAAGGAACCAACTATTAAGACAGCCAACTAGCTAGCCACCAAGTCTTCAGTCAATCAAGTTACCAAGAATGAGAATAAGGCCAGAAGCATGAGGCAAAGCAAGAAGTAAAGTAGCAAATTAAAAGTAGCGAGGAAAAATACCTACATACTTACTTAGTATAACAAAACTAGCAACCCAAAAGCACAAGAGCAAAAGTACTCATGTGAGTATGTATGTATGTACATATGTTTGTAGCATATGAACGCATCTACATTTGTATTTACATATACATATGGTGTACATATATATGTACATACATACATACTATGTGTGTTTGTACAAATTTAGAAGATAACATAACAAGTTAGACACAGCCACAAATTCATATGAGCCTCTAGCCAAATAAATATCACTGCATTAGCGTTGACGAAAAACAGTTGCAACACTGTCATAATGTTTTTGTTTTTAAGAAAATATAATTTTTTAGTGTAATTGCATAAATAGAAATTCAAGGATATATGTACATACATATGTATGATGTATCAACTTGTCTATTATCTATACATATGTACATATGTACATACACATATGTATGTAGTATGTAGATTCTTATTCACTAGAGCTGCAGTTACAAATAAGCAAAATCCTGAACAACAGAACCTAAAGTGGCAACCAAAAAGAACCTGCAACATTATGATTTAATAAGCAGCTAGGAGTAGAAAAATAGCATAAATCTTATTCGCGAATACAAGAAAAAATAATAATGCACATAGTATGTATGTAAATGTAACGCACAATACGATAAAAGTGTTGCGAAGGCGAACTTGAATTGACATTAAATGGGCAAAGTGCGCAACAATCGCACAAACGACGAACGAAAGCAGCATCAACAACAACAGCAACGGCAGTATCGACAACAGCAGAGGCACAAACATAAAAGTGTAATTAGGTGAATTACACACACACGCACACAATTGAAACAGAATAATTTTTATGAATTGGATTCATTTGCCACTTGAAGGCGAAAGTGAATGCGAAAAAGTACACAAAGTGGAAGCAGCAAACAAGAAATTCATACATATATGTATGTGTATTTAACACAAAAAAAAAAAAAATACTGTGCAATATAGTATGCATGTATGGTTAATAAATTATTTTAATATCAATACCGTAGAAAAAAACGAATATTTACAATTGAATCCACCCAAAAATATTTAAAAAAATATTTAAAAAATAACGTAAACGCTTGCATTCGTTAAATTATCAGTGATCTTGTTTTAAAAAAGGCGCACGCGCGCCCCACCGTTTCTCTACAGCAGCAGCAGAGTAAAATTGTGCGTGTGCGTGTGTGTGTGTGTGTGGTATTGTGCGCGCAACTCGGAGGATTTCCGTTTCATTATCACCTTTTGAATTGGTCTTCGTCAACGATAAAATAGCCTTGCTGTTATCGAATCATTGTGAGTTCCGGTTTACACATGCATATGTACATATCTACATAAGCACTGTATTTATATAATCCATTTATTTCGTGCACACAGGATATATCTTTCGAAACATTTTGTGAAACTGCAAACGCGACATCTGCCAACGATTAGTGCGATCCCACAACTTCCGTTTAAATATCGTTCCTAAGCTCGTTCATTGTGCATCCTTTGCAGTGGTATCCTTTCCATTTGAAACGCTTTTAATAAATTTGATCTACACAATGTTTACGGGAAAATTACAAATAAAAGTTTGTGAGGCAATCGGGCTACGACCAACCGATTTTCAAAAGCGCCACAATTTGACATTCGGAAAGTTGGCCGACGAACAGCCGATCGATCCTTACATATCGATCGATGTCGACGATAATCATTTTGGTAAGCACAATTTATCGGTATCTTTTAGTGTTAAAATTTTAATTTTGCGTACGAATAATGACCGATTTTTTAATAATTTTTTAATCTGAAGAAAGGTACCGCAACTGCCGCAATTGTTAAAATATTTAATGTAAACTTATTGAAAAGTCGACGTTCAATAATAATTTTAATTTTTTAACGAACAACCAACGATAAAATACTTGTTGGTATTAGTTTGTACCAAAAACCACTTAGAACCCATCTGGGACTTACCTGTCGTCACCGATGTGAATTCTGACTCTGTAATTTAATAGTAAATTCTTCAGTTAAGCGTTATGCAAGGCTAGCATTAATATTCCCGATGACAGTTAAGTCTTAGGTGGATAGGGGTGATATCAGAATCTCATTTTTGTGAAAAGTCCATATAGAGGGTATTGAATATAAGCGCTCGATATTAATTTTGTCATCTGTGTCGATCTTTGCTACAAACGGGCATTTCCATAACGTCGAACATGACCATCGAACGTAATCTAAAACTTTGTTTTTTTACAATAAGCTTAACTTATAGCTCTTAATTCTGCATTGATGTCTCTTTAAAATGGTTTTGATATTACCCAAATTTAAATGATTTATGTATTTTTTTTTTTATTTAATTTTAATCACTGTCGCACGCGATATTTCTTTCCATCGTGATATTTTCGTTAAGATTGCTTTTAAACGAATTTTTTAAGGCAATTAATACATTAATTTATATCGAACACACTTGGTCACTGGGATGTAGTGGTTAACAGTGCGCGCTACCATACCGAAGGGCCCGGTTCGACCCAACATCAAAAAATAGGAGGCGACATAAAACTGTAGGTCCTCCATTTTGTGTAATAACATCAAGACGCACAGCACAAATTGCAGGAAAAGCTGGCCTAATACTTAGCAAAAGTATAAGCGCCAAAATATTATTATTAATAAAAAAATATATACATATATTTTTATTAAGTACATTTGTCACCAAATTAAAGGGAGTGCGATATTTTGAAGTTTTGAATGTATTTCTTTTATTTGTTTAATATGCAATAATTTTTATAAAAGTATTATCTAGCAAAAATCCCATAAATACGAATTTAAAATTTTCTACAAAAATTAAATAATTCGAAATTTTTACCAAAAGTTTTATTGCCTATTGTACTTTAGTACAATAAAGTGCAAGCTTGAAGTTGTTAACATTGCATTTGGAATTTGATTTATTAACGGTGCTAGGCATTTTCTTCTATATAAAAAAAAAAACAAATATAGAAGAAAATACGTCAACAAAAAATTATTCAAAATTAATGAATGCCAAATTGTTCTAAAAATTCTGAATAAAAATTTAGACAGTTTTGTGAATGTTGGTACAAAGTTTCAAGTTCGGATTTATGTGGTTTTTGTTAGATAATGAGCTATGCTACTATAAAAAATTAATAAGCATCAAACAAACAAAAGAAAAATAGTAAAAACTGGTGAACACATCGCACTCCTATTATTTTGGGGACAACTACATATACATATGAACATATATGTACATACATATATGTATGTATGTACATATGTACTTATGTTTCATACATTAATTTTCACTTTAAAAATACAACTTTTTTTAGATCGCTCTACAACGCGACCCAAGACATTCGATCCAGTTTGGAATGAGCAATTCGTTCACGATGTTACCAATGCAAAAAATATTAATTTGACGGTATTTCACGACGCAGCGCTGCCACCGGATGATTTTGTTGCCAATTGCCAAATACCTTTTGAAGATATTATGCAAAATGAAACGGGTGTACTTGATCTATGGGTAAGCAACAATTTTGAAATTAAAAAAAAAAAAAACAGAACTAAATCGAATTCGCATTGCAGGTGAATTTGGAGCCACAGGGTAAACTACATATTATAATCGAATTAAAGAATCGAGTTGGTATGTAATTTTTTAGGTCTTTCTTTTTTTTTTGGAAGCGCACATACCAATTGATAAACTTTTTCTTGATATAGATTCCAATAAGGATGTTGCTGAAGTGGTGGAAGCGGTTACCCAAAACAAAGAATTCAAAGAGCGCGCTGGTTTCAATCGCCGTCGCGGTGCCATGCGGCGGCGTGTGCATCAGGTTAGAAATCATTGCGTATGCCAAATAACAACATATCCCTAGCTTAGAGTGAAAAGTTGTCCGATTTAAAAATTGTATAGCCATTTTCTTCAAGTATTTCTCAAAAATTTTAATACAACATTTTGCCTGTTTAAAGCAAAGCAAAACTCCATACGAATCAGAGGGATTCGATCTATATGAAAAGATTTCGTAGGTACTATTTGGCCTTATTGAATTTTCGGGAGAAAACCTAAAATGAGGACCTTTAATCTTTTCGAAATGATGGATTTTTAATTTCTCTAGCCTCCTGTATCAAAATATCAGTTTTCATAAAGAGTGGAATTAGCAACTTTTCACTCTAAGCTAGCGATACTATCTTTTGTTTTCATTACTTCTCCTAACCCATTTATGTATTTCGAAATCCGTGTTATTTTTTTACATGTGTAGAACGAAATATATGTTCATACATATGAATCATTATTTTGCAAATAGTACGGATGTAAGGAAAACATATCACTGTTTAAAAGGGAAAAAAACATTTTTGGCACTTTCGAAAATTTTGCTGACACTTATGTACTATATTAGACTGCATCACCAAAAAAAGTTGTGGGCTTCTGGCCTATTATATTTTAAGACTTCTACCAAAATATTTCGGAAAATATTAAGATTTACATAAGTGAGCTAGACCGGTTTGAAAATACCTCTAAAATTGCAGTTTTTTATGAATAAAAAAAGTTTCTTAAAGGATTTTTTGGAAAAAATCCCCTCAGATTATAAACCAGTTTAAGCTTAAAAAATCTACATAAAAATATTAAAATTTTGTAACAACGGAATCATAATAACGAGAGTTTTGATGCTGTTTTATTAATTTTTTCAAAGAGTTGAGTTAGAAAAACTTGTATAACTGCTCCAAAAGTTTACCGATATAGACTTATGAGGTATCAGTGGAAATATATTTTATCACGCTTTTTATTTCTTTGCAAAAAACTCACCTCCCAACTTTTTCTTTATCAAATACCAACACATCTTAATTCAACATGGAATGACACCCGTTTATCTTACCTTCCTCTTTCATACTTTGAATGAGCTTATTCGCAAAGAAACTAAATAGGTGAGCAAATACCTTACCAATTATACCTCGGAAGTCTAAATTGGTAAGGTTTTGGCTGAGTTATTCAAGTTTTTCTTAAACCAGTCTTTGAAAAAAGTTCAAAAACAGCATCGAAAATCGCATTATTATGATACCGTAGACAATTTTTTTAAAAATATTTGTATATAAATTTTTTAAGCTTAAACTGTTTGGTCATCTGAGGTGATTAAAAAAAAAATACTCAAAAAAACTAATTTTATTAATAAACAACTAAATTTTTGGAGGTATTTGCAATTTGCAGTCATCCGCAAATGTGTCAACCTTTAATATAAAAAACCCACCCAAACTAAATATATTCATATCTCTGCAAAAATGTTTTCCTGATATACATACATACACACATACATATATAGGTATTTCCTAATTTCGTGCATAGAACTTACAAAAAAAGTTTTAGTTTAAGTTTGTTTTAAATTATGAAGTCAATTTTTAAAATAATGACAAATAAGCATACATACATAAATACATACGTAAACACATAGATAGTAAAAAACATTATTTATTTGCGCTCTTAACAGGTAAACGGACACAAGTTTATGGCGACTTTCTTGCGACAGCCGACTTTTTGTTCCCATTGCCAAAAATTTATTTGGTAAGTACACGGCGCGTATTTGCCACAGAAAAGTCAACGCATGCGACAAATCGCTGTGGCGTTGGAGGTATAAAATCATCCTTACCATAAACCTGCTATTTACCATAATCATATTAAAATATATTCTTAATTTATACGCTCATAACAGTGAATAACTGTATTTAGTTACTATCCTTTTCACCATTTGGTTATCGCAGTATAATTTGGTCACATTACACTTCCGGTTCTTATTGAATTTTCTTGTTTTCACAACTATTTAGCCAATTAGAATGTAGTTTTTTTTGGGTAAAATTAGGTAATTATTTCAAAGTTTAATTTTAAATTTATTTGGTACAAACAATACTTACATACATACATATATATATACATAAATATTAAATGTTTTATGTTATATTTGTTTGGTGCGAACATAGATACATGCATACAAGCATACATATAAGTATTTTTATTATTTATTTATTTGGGTGTAGTTTGGCGCTGGATAAACAAAATTACAAAAA